CATGCCAGGTGACATCATTTCATGCAAGGGATCACGTCACGTCATTCCAGGGATGACATCATGTCATGCCAGGGGTGATATCATCTCACGCCAGGGCATGTCATGCCCAGAATGACAGGGACGACGTCATGTCATGCCAGGGATGACATGCTGGCATTTTGCGCGGGCAAAGCGGGCGCATTCAGCTGATAGATGTTGCGCATATTGGTGGGCTGGTCTGATGTTGCGTGCTGTGGTGACAGCCGTCCGTGGGATCTATGCTGGTGTAGATTGGGCAGTTTAGGCTGCAAGCCGCATGCCAGCATTCCGCCACCTTTTTGTTTCCATCAACTTTGGAATGCGGAACTCGCCCTTAGGTCTTAGATTGTTGAGGCGTTTTTTTTCGAGAAACCATGTCCTTCACCGTGGTTTCTGTGGTTCATGTGTTCACATCTCCTGGCTTGAAGGTGTGGAAGGTCAGGGTGCAATTCAAAACATCATCTATGCTTCTGAGCGATGAAGAAAAGAGTTTTGAACTCTCTACCCACCTTGCGGTGACGACCAATTCCTCAAACATGCCCTCCCCAGTCACGGCAAACCAACATGTCAGCGCCGAAAAAAGTGCGAGAAGAGTACTGGGTTCCAACCCTATCGGGTAGAATGGAAAATGTTTCCTGAATCTTTCATGTGGGTCATAGATTGCCTTACAAACGCCTGTAATGTGCACATCCCACTAGTAAAACCAATATAGAACGCCACGCGCCTATTCTAAACCGATGTTTTTCCCCGAAAAGATCCGCTGCGCTGGAACGCTCGCGCACTTCTCTCCACAGGTCCACAAGCAAACACGAATACGTTGCGCCCACGCAGGGGGGCCACGCTAAATCTCCGGACCCTGTTTACTTAGCAACAAGCTACCACCACCACCACCACCGCCACTACTACTACTGCCGCTGCTACTACTACTACTACTACCACCACCACTACCAATATCACTACAACTGCCACTAGCACTGTGCAATCACAAAAAAGTCAATCGGGTCAACTGGATCAACTGAGTTCAATTGGGTCAACCGGGCTGGTCAAGTGGGACTGGACAGAAAGACTCACACCACTGACAATCAAAAGCCCGTCCACCACTACTACCACTACACCAACCACTACCACGACCAATGCCGCTACACCAACCACTACCACTACCACTACTACTCCACCACCACCACTGCTACTGCTACTACTACTCCTGCTGCTGCTGCTGCTTCTACTTCCACTAATACTACCACCACAACCACACCTGCCATCGCACAAAGTCAGTCTGGTCAACTGGGCTTAACCAGGTCAACTGGGTCAACTGCATCAAGTGGGACCTACTACGAATACAACTACCACTACTACCACTACTGCCACTCCGACTACTACTGCTACTACTACTACTACTGCTGCTACTTCTACTTCCAATGACCTACCACTACTACGACTACTACTATTACACCTGCTTTACCACCACTACTACGACTGCTACTACTGTTGCTACTACTGCTACTACTACCACCACTACTACCACCACTACCACCACCACTACTACTACTACCACTACTACTACCACTGCTACTACTGCCACTACAAATACTTCTACCATACCACCACTATACTACGACTGCTACTGCTACTACTACCACTACTACCACCAGTACCACCACCACTAGCACTACCACTTGGTACCACCAAAACTACTACCACCACCACGACTACTACTACTACTACCACTACAACTACCACTACCACTACTACTACTACTACTACCACTACTACCACTACTACTACTACTACTACTACTACTACTACTACTACTACTACTACCTACTTCAATCTTTCCCACGGTTTACTAAGCCATCCGAACTTCCTATCAAATGGATGGTTGCTACCGGTTGCCACCCTGCCTCCGACTCCCAAAACCCACCAGAGCCGAGCCCTTTTCCGGATGTCCGGCGATAGGAGCACCGACCTCTGACCCATAGCAGTCACCTGTTTCAGCCCTGAAAAAACCCGGAAACGACTCTGTCATCGTTGTTCTCGCCTAAGACGGTCAAATCACCCGAGCGTGTGAGGCAACTCATGTCCTGCACCGCCAAACGATCCGAACCGAACGGTCTGGAGACGCGCCACGCGGAACGCAGTGATGTGCGTCCTTGTTCTTTTTTGGAAGACGAGCTGGTCAACCAGGCTCGGATGGTTGATGATTGATTGAAAGATAGGTTTTGATTGATAGATTTTGATAGATTTTGATTGATTGATTGATTGATTTCAGAATGACATGATCCACGAGGAACAAATAACAACGTTCTCTTGCTCGTCAACTCCCCGAGTGGACAGGCTTGGAACAAAAGAAGACGAGACCAGTGCTTCAAATAGATCTACCCATGGAATCCTCATTCATGCAAGTCTTTAAGCTGTACATTGCTGTACATACAAGATCATACAAGATTTTGGCGATGGGGGGAAAATAAGCATGTGGAACACCTATGCGGACATTCACCTTCTTGACTGAATCTATGAAGGAGATTGTGTGCAGCTTGTTGCTCGCCCTGATGATGACATCTTTCTGTAAGGTGGACTCTATCTGACTGAAGTGGCAATCGCTCAAACTGACTGTTGTGGTGGCAATGCACAGAATGAACGTGTCGGCTGCTTTCTGGGTAAGGCAGTCGCCTAACCACATGTCAGCACCTGGTTGATCTTGGAACAGTGCATGTGGGGTCTTCCGCCCACTTGAAGAGTCTCTTGATCGTCACTTCCTTGTTCGGGAGCGGCAGAAGAGTCATGAAAAACAACTTTACATCAACCCCTTGATCACCGGCCCTGATACCTTCCAAAAAGGCATATTGTTCCAACAAAGAAAAGACACGAAAGCACATTCATCTGGGATAATGTACGTGCATCATCCAACGTATTACCTGGCTAGACTACCCAACACTACCCAACATGGAGCTGCAGCCAGCACCCAAAACACATGATCCTGGATTGATCCGGGTAGGTATCACCCACACCCTCCGACGTCTCGCTCGCCCTCTTCCACTCGCCCGGGTGATCACCTCGTCCTCACTCCGAGTCGACGTGAAGTCGACCCCTCGCCTTCAACAGCTTCACCGCGGCATCGACGGCCTCCCCGCCGTCCACGTCCGAGGCGACCAACGGCGAACGGAACGGAGGACGAAGAGAGCGAGGCGGCGCGAGGCGGCGCGAGCGGGAACCAGTGTGGGAACGACCTGTGTGTTTGCTTGTGTGGCACACCAACTTCTCGCTTGTTTGTGGATATGCCGCGCCAGGAGTGTGTGGGTATGGAAAATGGGAAATCATGGGCCGATTGAACTTTAAGTGGGCGAATGATTGACAAAAAACTGACTGGAATCCTTGGGTGAAACGACCGCATGAGAAAGACTGTGCTTTTGTTCCAATGTGCTTCATAACCATGGAATGATGGGGAATGCTTCAATGGCAGACTGAGGATTCCACAGTTGATCGATCTGCTTTCGAGGTCTTCGCCAAGAAGAATTTGACTGAGCTGAGCTGGTGTCCAACCATATACGAATAGACATAGATGTTACAACATGCAAAGCTTTTCGCACTGAGAAGCTGCAACAACGAATCTTTGTTCCTCAGTCGCGGCCACGGCTACACTTGACCCACCTCTCAAGCGCAAGCCCTGTCTTTTTTTGCCAATCGGCCATCGGTTTTTGTCTCACCCAAACTCTGTGAGCGCACAAGGCAGGCGGGGCTGCTTGACTTCAGTATTTTGCATGAGGCACTGCCCATAGGGAGTACTAAGGACAGACTGGGAAGCTCTCGGAATGTGATGAATCCTCTGAACAAGCTCCATTCTACCTGATGTCCATCAATCCATATGACATCCATCACCATCGGACCATCTGCACACCATCTGAAACCTATTCACTTTCGTTTCTCCTCTCCATCTTCCTATATAACTTTAGATCTACTGTATAATTATATATACATCTCCATATACTGCTATTAAGCTGGAGACCATTGCTATTAGCAACTCAAAAAAAAGGATCGTTGTTGTTTGCACAAGACAAAAAGAGACACATCGAAAAACGACCTCTCCCCGTTTTGACCCCCCACCGTCTCGCACCGTCGCCTTGGGCTGCGGTGCGGCCATGGAATTCGTCAGCATCGAGGAGATCTCGGAGTTGCTCCCGCCATGGATCACCTGACACCGAATCCCCGACACGAGCGCCCGCCACGGCGAAGCGGATCCTCTGGGATCGTCGGCGTTGTTTCGGGGAGAAGGCGAAGTCTGAGCACATCCATCACCCCCTTGTTGTGCGGGCGACGGGTGGATCGTTCCACTCGGAACGGCCAAAACGTTTTTTACGATGGCCATGCAGAACGGCGAGCTCTCGGCCTTTCATCATCACATCAAACACTTTGGTTTCGCCTCAAACACTTCGGATGCGCATGCCTTTCGGCGCTGCGACCAGGCGACCACCCCACTGGAGACTTCGGAACCCGGTCGGCGGTCGAACACTGCAACGGCTCATACCCTGCTCGACCGGAGCAACGACTACCAGTGGGTTCGGTCGGTTTGTTCGCCTTGGATTGCAGGACGACTTCCTCCATGGAGGAGGACAGCATCTGAGGAATGGGGAACTGCTCGAAGTCTTTGAACTTAAAGCCTCGGCAGGAAGTACGGCACGAGCAGCGGAAGTTCTGCAGCGGGCTTCTCGGTGACGCTTTGTGTTTGTTAAGCGAGCCAGAAACTGGGTTGATGGAGTTGATGGATCGATGATGGTCGATGGAAAATAATGAATTGGATTGAATTGGTATATTGATCCTTTTGAAACCGTGATTATTGATACAACATCACCATACATCACCCACACTCGGAGGTTCTCACAAAAGCAACTGATGATATTTAGGTCACTTCCATTCACTTCCAAGTTCAAGGCCATTTTCGCTGGAAGTTCCATGTCGAAACCGGTCTTCCCTTCTACAGACCTCCCTGCGCGCTCCCGAATTATACCTACCTCGAGAAGCTCCCACCGCTTTCTTCCTCCGGAGCTGCGCCGTGCCACCTCCGTGCCATTCCACCTCCGCGTCCTCGTCCTCGTCCCGCGGTCCGCGGTCCCGCCGGTTGTGCGTGCGGAACGCGCGGAACGCGGTCGTTCATCACGGGTGGCTGGGAAAGAGATGCACCACCAGGCCCTCTTGACATCGGCCCGCTCGGCCCCGCCGTTGGATGGCGTTGGCCTGGCGATCGAGAGCGGGCTGTCCGCGTGTGACGCGGTGCTGTCGCCGCGTGTGAGGCCGCGAACACATGCCACTGTTTTGATGCTTTAGGGCCGGTACTTACATCTAACAACATAGTTTAGGGATTGAAAGCCTTCATTTCAACCTAGCAGATTGAAAACCCCAACCCATAGAATCATAGAACAACACATTGACATGTCACCTTGAAATTAGATTACTATATTCTCGTTCATCACTCATGCAGTTCACTTCAACAGCCCGCCCCCCCCCCACCTCGCCCTCTCCGCCCCCCAGCGGCGAAACAGACGCTCCCGTGGGGATCGGACCCGCCTTCGTCACCATCTTGGCGTCCAGGCTGGAAATCCCCGTCCCTCACGGGGCGAAGACGTTCGGCGGCGGTTCGAGCGTGGAGGTGAGGTGATCAGGTGGGGGTGAAGTTTCCGGCGGGGATTGACATGAGGTGGGGAAGACAGACGTGGCGGGGGATTTGAAGTGAAGTGTAGTGGTTAGGTGAGGTGAAGTGAGTGGATTCAAGCCCATGTTGGAGGGAGACCAGTGGTTTCAGAGGTTCGATGGCACTGGCAGCCCACGATGTCTACACAAACAACCTTTTGGGGATTCGTTCACACACCATTTGCTTTAAGGTTTTCGCTTGTCTCTAACGGTTTGTTTTTGTTCTGCGTCCATTTGTGTGGTGGTCCATCTCTCTCTCTCTGAGTTGCTTGGAACGCTTTTTGGCGGCCTGAAGTCATTCACCAAACTGTTTTCCAAAATAACGGCCAACACATTTTGTTGAAAGTGATGAAACATTCACGATTCTCTGACCATCTTCCACCCATTCACACCACGTCTGAAAAACACTCTGATTGGGTGTAGCACTATCGTCGGTGTAGCAGTGGTGACTCTTTGGATATCGATGTTTTTTAAACCTCAGTTTAAAAAAATAACGAACTGAACCAAAAAATTGAAGCACCCCATGTCCATGTCCCATCCCACGACCGTAGAAATCCAAAGACTTGAGAGAGGAGGGTGGTGAACGAAAGGTAGCAGGGAATCAGGCGTAATCCGGGAGGAGGTGAGAGGCCCCCCACTTGCTTGAAGAGAAGTGAGTGAGCGTGATGAAAGAAAAACTAATGCACAAGCGCTTGACAAAACCTCCAGAAGCTGTAGCGGTCTAGCGGTTTCAATACAGGTTGACGTGCCTTCAAAAGGAGTCACATATTTCTCAAATGCAACTTCGGATTTACATAGTGACGTGCGGCGACCCTGTAAATTGCGTGGCCGCAGGCCATGCTTGCAAACAGGACGTGCTCAAAAACACTGGTATTTACGAGGTTTCGTTGCCGTCGATCCACAGCCGCGGCAAGGTCTAAGGCCACGCTTGAAGACAGGAGGAGCTGAAAACACTAGTATTTACGGTATTTTGTAGCCGTCGATCCAAAGGCGCACCACGGTTGAGCGCTGGAAAAGCGCAGAAAACCGTGTAAATACCGGCGTTTTCTGCCGGGAAGGTGCACAAAACCCTGTAAATACCATAGTTTTGTGCAATTTTGAAGCCTCCAAAAGCCTCAAAAACCCTTTCTGACAAAATCTTTCCTGGTTTTTGGTCTTTTTTCGGTCATTTTTCTAACCGAGACGCATCAAAAACCATCGGTTTTTGCGGTGTTTTTTGCCGGACAGCCACAAAAAACGCTGTAAATTCCATGATTTTTGGTCACTGCTGAGGACTGGAAGAGCTGAAAACACTGATATTTACAGTGTTTTCGAACGGTTGACCCCGAGGCGCGCTAGGGTGGAGTTGAAAGGGGGGGGGCCCCCCCCCCCCCGGCCAGCAAACGAAGATGTCGGGGACCATTTCTCCGAGAGATAGGCTGCAGCTCTGGGTTAATACATTTTTGCTAAAGCAAAAGGAAAACTCAGGTAGCGTAACCGCTACCTTTCGTGATTAGATCTGGCACGACCAATGTATATGCTTTATAATCGCCTCGCCAAACCATTTTTGGAATGATCTTGGACTCCAAGGCCATCCACATATCCCCATGAAAGCCTATATGTTTGTGAGAATTGCAGAGTGGGATCTACACAGTCATCATGGGGTCCCAGGACTTATTGTTTGGTCTCCCAAACTCTCTGCAATGACTTTAAACTCCACGGCTTTTGCGGCGCCTGCGTCGTAGCTTCTCTCCTTGCGCACACCGGTGTCGATGACCTTAAAAAATGCCAGCAAGCGCTGGCAACAGCAAGTGCAGCTGCGTGAGGAACAGGAAATGCATGTTGTAAGTGCAGGCAGTCAATCAAACGACTCTTCACAAAAAAAGGATTGACAACATCCATGATTGATTTGGATTTCTCGCCCATTGGGGTAGGCATACTCCTGACTCCTGCCTACTCCAAAATAGAAGCAAAAACCACAAGAAGTAGATTTGTCATGTTGTCAATCATTTTCCCCCCACCCAAAACCAAAATCAATGTCTACCTCGGACTGATAAATGACCCCCAAAAGCACAAGCAAAAGAATGCAAATAATGGTTACGGTTCAACGTTGCGACTTTTTTTGTTAGACTGGTGGCCCCCAAGGAACGTAGTTTTTTAGACCAAAAGCGTGCACCCATCTGACATTTTAATAGTTTTTGGCACTCAGATTCCTCAAGCACCACGCCCACAGAAAGAAGTGCCCCAACCACATCATTGTGAGATGCTGGACAGCATGAGTTCAATTCTGCCAAAACGTACCAGTCCAACATCAACCCCTGTGAACCATTGTGAACCCAGAAAGAACACCTCTCCTTTCAAAACATTTCAAAACATACTATCCCCCCCCAACACCTCTCTATATTGACGCAACCTTTCGAGTGATCTTGAGGGTCAAAGCTGGGTCATTTCGTTGACATCTCCCACTGCGGTCCTCTTCACCTCTTTCAGTCTCTCTCTCTCTCTCTCTCTTCGCCCACTCTGGGCTCGACGTCGTAGACCGCGCTTCTTCGGCCGCCGCACGTAGACCACATCGTCGATGGTCACCGAGGCTTCCGCGATGTTCGTGGAGAGCACAACCTCGACCGGAGGTCCCGACGGTCGACCCGTCGGCAGAGGCTGTGGCTCATGCCTCTTCACCTTGTTTGACGGATTTGAGGGGTATGAGTCACTTTCCCCGTGGGTTTCCCCACCCCCCAAAAAGACCACGAGCCTTTGGACGTTTGACCGTAGAACCATTATCTCCCCCCCGTGATGCGCAAAACGCAAGCTGATCTTGAGAGGCCGGAACTCGAGGCAGCAGAATAGGACCCCAAGCATCTCCAACGGTGAAAAGGACATGCAGAGAATGGGCGCCGAACAAAAAGAACACATCGAGTATGCTACATGATCTGTCTGACGTGTCCGTTGGTGAGAGGTTGCAAACAGTCACTTAGTGTTACCATTACCATATATATGATATACGCATTTACCATATGTCTTCACCAGCCGCCTCCCCAGCTCCCACCCTTGGTCTCCCACTAAACCTCCCTGCTTCCCGTTCTCTCTCCCCCTCGGCGCCTTGCGGGTCCCTTTGGGCGGTCGTTCGAAGGCCTCGTGCTGCTGCTCGGGCGTCATCAAGGAGTGCAACGTGATGAGCTTGTAATTCTCACCTCCCGAACCCGAGCCACAGAGTCCGAGCCGTCGAAGACCCCCCCAAACCAAAAGAACTGAAAAGAGAAAGGCCATCAAACAGCTCGTGAGGGTGGGTTTAAGATGTCCAGTTCTTGTGATGGGCGTGCTCGTACGTGGTGGAAGGATCTGGAAGGTCGCTCCCGTCGTGGTGCCGCCGTTTTCGCGACGTGGTGCCGCGCTGGTCATTTCCCACGGTGGATTCTGCAGGTGTTGGACGTTGTCATTTATAGATTCGGTAGATATGGTTTGCGGTTGACTTGGCTGGTGACGTCGGGCATGGGGCCGCATGGGGGGGTTAAACTCGCCCAATATGTTGGAACTCTGAACTGGGCCAAGACATTGGAAGATATATTTAATAACGTCCCAATACACTCAGCTCGGTCAGGCCTGACTGATACAGGCGGATGTAGGTCTTGGTGATATCACCCCAACCTGCGGCCGTTCGCGGCCGTTCGAGGCGTCGTGGTGAACGATGCCCACAGATCCTCTGAGCAAGTGATGTGTTCGACACTGCTGTTTGCCGGTGCCATGGTCGGGTCCAGTCGTACCGAACTTGAGAAGGTACGAAAACGGATCCCTAGGGACAGTCATTGGCACAGACCTCGAGCTGTGGAAGCCTCGATCATGGTCCACCAAGGAGCACGGTCCATGCTTTGCCAACGTCTGAAACGGAGAAAAGAAGGGTGACATGTTAGGAAATAAATGCATTGAACATATTCCATTCTAGGCCCTGTAAGGCCAAGGCAAAAACTTGGGACGATGTTGGCCAGGTTTTGGAACCTAACTCATGTACACTGTTACACTGGCTGCCAACGCAGGGCCTCTTCTCCCAAGCCAGGCACCCACGCCGACGCCGACACCAGATCGATCCATCGTTCTCACTCACCGTCCGCACCTGGCAGGAAGATCAGGATGGCACCATCACCTTTGGGCTCCGTCTTGTGGAAGTAGTGCACCAAGTCCTGTGGAAGGACATGTCGTGGTGAAAAGGGGCGAACAAAAGAGAACTCGGACCTTCCACGTGCGTCCTGCTGGTCCGAAGTTTTATGAAAAGCTAGTACACAACGGACGCTACGCTGGAGGCCGCTTCCGCCGGTACCGAGGCCATCGCAAGCGTTCAGTAACAAGACGCTACTAGGGTGGAGGAACCCTGGGTTCCCTCCTGTTTCGTCCGTATGCCATGCGTTTTTCCAACGGAAAAGGACAGAAAGAGAAACGTGCAAGTCTCCTCCACCAAATCCACATAGACCTGCCAAGTGAAAAAGCTTACGAGACATTACGAGAGGAGCGAGACTCTCAACCGCTTCCGTTGAGGTGGATCTTCTCTGTAGTCAAAGAGATCTAGCTCCTTCTAGCTCCTTTTAAAAGGTAATAGATTTACAGTAATAGATTTGATTCAGAGTGAATGAGTTGGTACATGTTTAAAGGGTACATTGCTTGAATGTTCGCACTCCCCCCCTTTCCGTCTGTTCGACAGCTGTTGCGCTCCACTCACGGGGCTCACGGGACTCTGCGCCTCGCATTCTCGCCACAGAGCGCACGCTCGCAAGGCTTTGTCGGAATAGTCGCTGCACCGGACGTTGCTCGGCCTCCGCCACAAACCACCCAGCAACCGGGCGGAAGATCCAGATCTTCCACGCTCACGCTATGTGTTGCTTAGATTGACTGGTTTAGATGAAAAAGATTGAAAAGGAGAGATCGACTTGTGCACATGCTGGAAGATCGATTTTTGGAAACGCCGTAGTGGATCTCTCCGTCTCTCGTTTAGACGAAAAGGGAGATCAATTGGTGCAGAAGATTGATGTTTGTGAAAGGATGTGAGGATGTCTCCAACCTTTGGGACGAAGCGTTGGTTCAAATCTTGTACCGGTATGTGTTGGTGAGTAACGTTTCATAGAGAGGCAGTACATGGCAGTACTATAGGCAGTAGTCCTAATGGATCGGTTGCCCCAGCTACCTCCAAAGACTGTTACACATTCCTTGCGGAGATGGTGCTGCTGACCATGTCAGGCAGTTCGGCCCACCGTCGAGGTCAGGGCGATGGGCCGAACCACTGTGGTTTTGCCGAGGTTTTAAGGGAAAAGGCTGAGGCTTGGCTTCATGGTTGACAGGACAAGAAAGAGAACAGGAAGATCTGACAAAACAAGGTATACCATGGTATACCAACCTTTCAAGCTACATACATGTCAATGTTTCTATCAAGAGTTGATGCTCTTGACTATTGATTGACATCGATCTGGGCGCATATGGGCGCAGCGCATGGGCGTTGCAGGCAGGTGGAGAAGTCTCCCTTCATGTCGAGCCTCATAAGAGCCTCATTCATCCTTCAGGGTTTGGAGGGACCACCGAGCCTCCTCTGCGCCACTGAGTCACTATAGGTGCCGTGGCGTTCGGACCACACAAGGACGTCCGATGCTCCTCCCTCCCTCTTCATGCGTAGGTTGGGTGTTTCGGCCTTTCCGCAGCACCAGAAATCGCCCGTTTTCGCTTTCGTCCCAAGTGCGATCGGGGCTCAACGCCTTCCCCTCCCTCGAACCGTAGGTCGTCCTCGGACCGCGCCGAGGAAGACGGTGTCTTCACACGTCGTGGTCCTCGCGACGGCCTGACTTGTGGGATGTCCACTTTCAGGATGGCTTGGTAAACAGCCTCCACCTTATCTTCCACCGAGCCTCCGAGAGCTGCACGCGAAGACTTCCCGGAATTCCAGGAATTCCGGTGGGAGGTTGTTGGGCTTGAAAAGAAACAAAACGGTTCAGAAGCCATTTTGGGTGGAATCGGTCCAATTGGCACATCAGATCTGGAGTCTACATATTGCACACCCTCAATGAGAAGATTTCCGGCTGGTTGACCCATATCAACCTCACCCCATAGTTCAATGTTCAACAGTTCAACACATGCCAATGTGACGCTACTGCAGTGGCCTACCAGGTACGGTTCCTATATAGTTCATCTGAGAATCGGATCTTCTGATGGACGGGAAAAAGACCAAAGAACCGTTGAGAAGATCCAGTACAGCTTGGATCAGATTGGCATTCGCGTGTGGTCACGGGGGATTCGTGTTGTCACTCTGTCTTTCGGAACATCGGTGACGTGAAAAAACCGGCGCCGCGTCGACTGACGCGTCGACCGCCTCGAGACCACCGCGTTCCGGCGAATCGTCGGACGCGTTCCGCGCGGCGAATCGTCGGAGACGCGACGCGACTTGATGTGACCAGTCGTGGGCTCCGTTTTTCTGCAACTCGCCCTCTCAGCCAAAATACGACCAGTCAAAGGAAAAAGAACCTCCGCAAGGGGGTGCGCTGAGCTCTCAGCTGAGCTGCTCAGCCATGCCACATCTTCATGCAGCACCAGGTACCCACCGACGTTCGCTTCGTGAAAAGAACTCGGTGCTCTGACACCCAGAAGCGGAGGCCTTGGGCTTGACCGGGAGGAAAATGGATGCAGATCGGCCGCCAGATGCAGTATGGACTTCCAGAATCCAAGCTCGCTGGACCAAAAAGGGAGAAACCAAGCATGGAAGCAACAAAAACACACTACGAAGCACCACACCATGGACTTCCACCACGGAACTTCCACTCAACCTGCGCCGGGCGCCGGGAAAAGCTACATCCGATCCTTCGGGCAAACAGAGACATCATGCTCAGCTCACAGCACATTTTGGGCGTCTCATGACACCAGGGACAGCACCTCTGAACGGGAAAGTGTGTGAAGTAAGAAGAGATCATTTGTTATACCACGGCATGCCAAGGCACCTGTCCACTCATTTTTAGAGCCAAGAAAATGAACAATATTGCTGGCTGCCTCCATAGGAAGCCAAAAATCAAACACATCATCAAACATCAAGGACTTTGTGTCCAACTTCCTGCATCTTCATGCAGGGAGAACGGGTTTTTCCACGGGTTGCCCCTGCCTTCAGGGAGGAAAAAAAAGGAAAACGCAGGCCGACTCAGCAGATGACGCAGCAGCCTCCTCCACACTGGTTCAGAAGCCATGGACTCTTCTGGGCCCCTGAAACGGCGACGAGACGTCTCGTCATCGGTCAATTTCGCCGAAAGCTCCGAGCCGGATAGAGACCGGAGCTAAGACGAAAGTCAAGGTTAGAAACATGTTAACACATGGCATGTCTTTTTCAATAACAAAGGATAATGGCATGCCATATAGTATGCCGATATATTCTAAGATATAGGGCCGATTCCAACACAAAAACACCATGCTCGATTGGACAACTTGCTGAAAGGCCATATAGCGGTGCTTTCCCCCTCCACCTGGACCCACCGACCGATCCGGAGACCCGGTGGAGAGGTCGACGACTCCCAAGAGGCCCAGCCCCATCCCCCCCCGGCAAAACACCTTCAAGCCACATCTATCGTCTAAGTCGGAGTCATAGAGTCTTGAAACGTTGAAGATATCTTAACCTCGCGTGGTTTTTCTCCCCCTCCCCAAAACAAAGAAACTTCACCCATCATCCCCTTCATCCACATGTCCCCCCAACCACCAAGCCCACCTGGCGCCATTTCATCACCCACTGGGTTCCTCGCCACGCCGCACGCGGTTCCGCGCACCGGTCGACATACGCGGCCTTCAGCGTCGAAACGCTCCTTCTCAGGTGCCAGAAGGCCCTTGGCGAAGTGCAAGGCTTGGACACTCTCGCGCTCGCGCCAGGTGTTCTCCTGCTTCGGTGAGAAGCTTGGGAGTGGCCAACAAATCAGGGAAGGATGTGAGTTGGGAGTGAAGGAGAAAGTCCAACGACCTTCTTTGAAGATGTGGCGTTTGAAAGGCGTTTTGCTCTTGCACCTTGTTTTTTGATCCTGGATCATATCCTATCATATCCTAATCCTACATGTTCCAAAAGCGACTTCTGTAGACAATATATGATATCAGTGAAACGCAGTGTTAACGCGGTGATTTCGCATCATTGCTCCTCCAACAGCGAAGCCACTCCGTTGTTAATTGCCACATACTGCCTGGCGTCTTCGCCGCTGTGGTCAGACCCCGAAGTCGGAACTGGATGGAGGAGACGGGGACAGGGGGAGACGGGGGGAGTCATCCTCCCTCGGTGTTCAACCCCAGGAAAACCAGAGGATGGTTTTCCACCCTTGAACAGTTGAGGTATCGCATGCTATCGACCTTCGCTCAAGTTTCTCTTGAGGTCGCCAAGCTCCAAACGTGGGAGGTGGAACTCTGCAATGATCTCATGTTTTCTTCGCCTCACAACTGGCACAACTGTTGGGGTGTCAGAAGTTTTCACACCAACCTGTTCGCATCCGTCGGTTCGCAGCCCTCCGAATGGGACCGACCCCAGACCGTCCAGTCGGACCATTTGCGAAGCCTGACAGGACCCGTCGACGTTCCGTGGGTTCACAGCTGGAACTGGTCCCGCAAAACTGTAGGGATTTGAGATGATTTGAGGGTCCGGCCCCTACTGAACGGAGGGTCCAGGGTCGCGTCTGGGTAAGAACCATCGAGACAGAAGAAACATCGCAAGACCAAAAAAATCGCAGTTCAATCTCTCCGCTCCTTCCAAGCACCAGGCAAACAAAGAGCACACCCATGCTGTACAAATCGCACTTCTCCTCTGTGGCTTGGGCGATGCAGGTCGGATGAAACCAGAATCCGGTTGATGATGATGATGATGATGATGATGATGATGATGATGATGATGATGATCCGGTTGACTTACAGTTCCACTGTGATCAAATTGGACATATGCCAGTTCCACACACTTCCAGGATCATCATGGCCCTGCCCCGCTCGTCAAAGGTGATGCGCTCCAAACTTAGATGTTCCATTGTTTCCCTTTCAAATCCTCATCAAAAGTGCTTAATCTTCTTAATCTTCTTAACCTGCCTGTTCCTGTAAGCAATTCAGATTGTACATGCCACCCACCAAATTATGAGAGAATATCAAGATTGAACCGTTGAACCATTCAAACTCTGTGGGAGTCAACTTAACCAACACAGTTTCAAAGCATTGAAACCCTGTCATTGGTGTCTATAGAAAAAATAAATGATTGTCAGTTGGTTCAACAGTCTTGTGTCTTGCAGCCATCCAATTTTAAACAAGGATTGAACGACACATCTCACACCACAACATCACTCATGTTTCGTCCCCCACCACCACGGCGCACAGATCGTACATCCAAAGCTCAGTGTAGCTCCTCTTTTCCACCTCCGGTGCCATGAACGGCCGCGTGCCAGCATACTCGGACATGGGCTTCGTGGCGGAGCGATCGAACTCGCAGGCCAAATTGAAGTCTGCCAACTTCCACTGGGATCCTCGACGGTGCCGACGCGATGTGGTTTGACGGAGGCCCTACCGCGAGAGGTGCCGTATGGCGAGAGAGGTTTGGGGGGGGGCCGTATACTAACAGGGGGGTGAGAGAGGGACAGGGTGAGACAGGTGCTCGGAGTGGGGTTTGTGAATGTGTGGATGAAGTTTTTTTGCAAAGGAACACGCTCTTTGGGGTGTGGGTGTTCTTTTTCCCCCCTCTTTGGGCATTGCCGGCCCTCCGCTTGGAGGCAGCCTGCCGCCTTCGAACGCCTCAAAACACCAAGCGCGAGTTCGTCGCGAATGGACGGCGCCAAGAGGTAAGACGAATCACAAACTCCTTGCTGGCTGGTAACTGCGCAAGCCGGCGATCACACGTGGTAACTGCTGATCACAAGCTGAGTTCGCGATCAAAGTTCTATATTGCTTTGTTGCATCTCATCCCTATATGGCTTTGGAGGGTCAGGAAGTAGGGCTAGGAGCCTCACGGAGCCTCACGTCCCCCAAACTCAGACAGAGGATCGACCTTTTGCGTAGTTCTGAAGCCTTCGGTCTACGGTCTACATCAACAGTGACCTGTTTGTTGCCGGCAACTCAGTGGTCTCAAAAAGAACAACAACAAGTAATTAAGATTCTTATCCAATTGTACTATGTTTAAAAATGTTTAAAGTATGAAACATGATTTTTCACCTATGCAATGACATCGTCTTAAAGCTTCCTTTTCTATTGCAGCGGCATCCCACAAGGATCACGGCGGACTGTTCCTGACTGTTCCTGGCTCCCTCTCAACCCGACCCCAACCGCCCGGACGGCCCCAAACGGCGACCCCGGCGAGACGACTGCGGCAGGTCCTCGCCTGCGGCCATGAGAACGTTCTCCGGCTTAATGTCCCGGTGTGCCACCTGGATGCTCGGGACCCGTCGGACGACGGTGACGAAGGCGGACGTCGGACGATGCCGTCGACCTCTCCTACGTATAGGTACCTTCCTTGCTCTGAAGCATTGCGGAAAAAGAAATGCGGCCTGGCTCCCTCAGTTGATCTTCATCCAACTGAAGGTTTTGATAGATATAATGTAGAGCGCACCAGGCCCATCTTCAACTCAATTAGCCGATCATCGAATTAGTTCAAACTGGACGTCCCAGTGCTGGGCGTCCCAGTCCGTGGACTTTCGTGAACACAACAGAATGGCTCCGAACGTTTCACAGCCTTTTGAAAATTGTCTGGACCTCCAACTGTTCAGACAGTTTTGCTTCAACGAATCTGCTGAAAGTGCCATCTAGAAAATCTGTTCGTATTATGTTTGTCGAAGAAACATGTCCTACAAGCATCTGCGATATGCTTTACAGTCATCCCAAGAAAATCCTTGTAACTTTTCTTGGTGACCCTCAACTTGGCGGCTCC